ATAACGACCGACACAGGGTTTTCGAGGCGGCGATGGTGGCGTACGTGGAGCCCGGGCACGAAACGCAAGCGGGTGGGGGTGGCAGCAGCGTCGCCAGCACCGGAGCCGGCGGCACTCATCCTGCAGCGGAGGCGGCTGCGCCCGCCGGCGGGGGGGGGGCGAGAACAGGACCGGGGGGGGTGGAGACCTCTACGTCGATTCCCATAATCGAGAGACTGCGCTTGTATCCCATCGTCCTGGTGGTTTGCTGGAGCTGGGCGACCGTAAATCGCACCAGGGAGGCGATCGAGCCGTACGCGGAGTCCTTGTTCTGGCTTTTCATCCTCCAGTACAGCTTTCAGGTCCGTTACTTTTTTTTTTTGGGCTGTTTGTGCGAGTGTTTCATTCTCGGTCGGCACCCGCCGCGCCAACTGGCTGATGACTATGTCCGTCTCAGTGCGGCTTACAACGGGAAACGCTCGTAAAAGGTCATGACCTGGGGGCCTGTGAGGGGTCACGGGTACTCTTGTGTGTGCTCGTGCAAAGGAGAAGTGTGTGCTTCCTTTTTTTTTCTCTCGCTGACAGCTATGGTGAGTAACAGGAGCAACAACAATAACGGCAGCACCAGCAAAAGCAAAAGCAAAAGCAAAAGCAAGAGCAAGAGCAAATAACGAGTGGTAAATGACAGCATTTCTCGTTCAAAGATATGCGCTGTGAAACCGTATCTCAAGTTGAACCCTTGCTCTGTCCCTCTCTATATATATGTATATATATATCTTCCTCTCTCTCTCTCTCTCTCTCTCTCTCTCTCTCTCTCTCTCCAAAACCACAAAGTCGATCCAAGGCTTCCTCAACCTGATGATCTTCCTGCGGACACCGGGCGTCATGGAGGAGTGGCGGGACGACATCAAGAAGTGGAGCTGTGGCGACTGCTGCTGGCCATTCCGAAGAGTCCGGACCGTAGATCGCGCGGGACTGCTGGACAGCAGCAGCACATCATCATTATCCGAGCCGGGCCGAAAGTAATGTGTGTCGATTTTTTTTTTTTTCTTTCTAAATGTTCCAAAGCCTGGTCTGGTGGCGAATGACGTTGTTTCAGGGGGCGGAAGAGGTTATATTGCTGGTGTTCTTGTGGGGAGCGATTTTTTTACCAATGCAAAATAACTGGCGTGCTACAACCCCTGTTGCCGTAGCCAAGTCTAGGGTGCTGCAGGCAGCACGGCAAGGGGGAGGTGCCACGCACGCGCACTTTGCGCGGGGGGGGGGGGGGGGGGGGGGGGGGCCAAAAGGGCCCGGTTGGGGGGGGGGCTTTTTTTTGGGGGTTTTTGGGGGGTCCCCCGGGTTTTTGG